TTTCAAAAATGACCAGTTCTTTGTTGGTGAAAACATGAATCCAGCTGGCCTGGGTGCTCTGCTGGGACCCCGTATGTGGTTCTCCTTAAGGGTGCTGTAGCCATGGAAGCAGGTCAACAGATCTGGCAATTATTTTGGATCACCTGCCATCATAACGGATGTGCGTGTCACCCACAAAGCGCCGGGACGAAAGACAAAGGGGACCGAGGTCATCGCGAGCGCCTCGTTTATTCTGACTGTGGTTCATTCGAAGTGAAGGCGTTGTTTCTGAGGAACAGAACCTTTGGCTAAAAATAAAATGCGTCTAAACTCATTGGAGAGAATGCCTGTTGGTTTCACACACTTCAACTAAATCCATCATGGGGTTCCTGAAGAAATTTCCTGGTTATAAACCGCTACGAGAAAGCGTAAGACTGTCTTCAAATAACGTCTACAGTGAAAAGTACTCTGGGACAGGACTAGGAAACTAAGAAAAAAAGAATCCAAAGTTTAAATTCTGAGTTGCAGTGAAGGGAAAGACAACGCTTAGAGTCACGCCGACACTTGAAGTGGAGCCTTTTTGTCACCTGTAGTGGAAGCAGTTAACTCTGGGAGAGGTTACCAAAAGAATAAAAAGAGGCTAAGTCAGTTGGAAAAAAGAAAGAAAAAGAAAAAGAAAAGGAGGAAAGAAAGAAAAGAAAGAAGGAAAGAAAGAAGAAGGAAGGAAGGAAGGGAGAAAAAGAAGAAAGAAAAAGAAAGAAAAAGAAAGAAAGAAAGAAAGAAAGAAAGAAAGAAAGAAGGAAAGAAAGAAAGAAAGAAAAGAAAAAAGAAGAAAAAGAAAGAAGAAAAGAAAAGATGAAAAGGAAAGAAAAAAGGAAAGGAAGGGAAAGGGAATGGAAGAAAAGAAAAATGAAAGAAAAGAAAAGAAAAGAAAAGAAAAAAGAAAAGAAAAGAAAAGAAAAGAAAAGAAACGAAACAGAAGTTTCTGAAAGGATCTGTGCCCAATGTGAGTTTCGTCATGCGACTTAGTCGTAGTCGCGTCTCCTGGGCTGTGGTGACATGGGTCCTGGCCTCGGGTTAGAGCCGAGACCATGGATAACAGAGGACGAGCTGGCTAATGAGCTCCTGGGAAGGTGAGCCCTGGCTGAATCTGTAGAGCACCGAGCCTTGGGACATGGGGGCAGAAGAGAAGCCACCAGGGCACTGGGCTAATGGCAGACAACTGTCCCATGCTGAGGCCCGGGCATGTGTCATCCGGGAAATCTGCCCAGCGTCCCAGGAGAGAGAGTCTATTACTGTCCCCACGCTGAGGGAGGGAGCTAGCCCACGTGCTTCAAATCGTCCAACCGTAAGTGGCAACTCCGGGACTCAAACCCTGTCCGACCGCAGAGCTTGAGCTCTCAATCACAGGTCTATACTGCAGTTCCCTGGGAGGAGGACGTGCGAGGGCAGGGTTTCTCTTAAGGGGAAGGGATCAGCAAGTCAGGAGATGTCAAAAGACTGCGTACGTGGGACCAGCAGTTGGCATAATGGCTATGTCACTGGATTCCCACGTAGTCGACCGCAGTTCACATCCTGGACCCGGTGGCTTAAACTCACACCGGGCGCGTGTGCGTGCGTGCCCAAGATCCCGAGAGGAGAATGGAGGAGAAGGGATTGCGGTGTGGCCATCCCCCTGGGGGGTGATTTCTCACTTTCTATCTCTCTGTCTGTCTCTGTCTGTCTGGTGAGCGCACGTGCCCTA